TCAGTACCTGGATGGCGATTAATGTTTTAAAAACCCCTACAAATCCAACTAGAAATAGTATTGTTTCGTTGCCCAACGACGATGCGAATGAACTTTTACCTCCAGTTCAAAACGTTTCTCGCGCGCTCATGAATATTCACAATGGGTGTAGACTCACACAGCGAATGAACTGAACTGTCGATGATGACTATTGAGTGCTAGTAGCCCGAGTGTGAAGTGCGTTGGAGCTTATATTTCAATCGAACATTTCGTTAGAATTTCTCTATGAAATGTCACTTTTGACAATGGAAATGTATAAAACAACCGATATTGAGATTTATTCTCTGGCTCGCAACCCCAGGTAGGTTTCAGTTCACGTTTTTATAAGGGACAGTCGTTTTCACATCGTGATCATGCTCCTCGCTTGTAAACAAAGCGATCCTGTAAGTTTCTCTACCAACGCCCTATTACGCCACAAAAGAATTTTTTTTGCAGATCTAGGGCAAGTTATCGACGTTCTATTTTGTGTATAATATTTTGGAGTGAATTTAATGGTCTAAGAGGATATGGGCTAGACAGGGAACGGAGAAGCTAATATTTATTACAGATAATTGTTAATAGAAGGCCGTTCATAACTACTGCTACTTAGTCGGCTGATCTATTATTGAGGCTAGCGCCACCAAGAACTGTTGCCGAGACGGTGCCTATCGGGTGTGGCTTGAAACTGCGCGATTTTACATTTTTAGTAAAATTCTGAATGATGTTTAGGCCTATATGTTAAGAACGCACAATGAATGTTATATTGGCCAAACTTTGTTCTGTAAGTATTTATCGTTGAGATATTTGGGCAGAAAACAAGATAACAATGATAACATAACAAAAAGTTACTAATCGTGGATTTGTTCGACTCGAGAGGAAACAAAAGTCGATTTCATTATTACATGTCATAACTGTGGCCTACATGAACTTCGAATAATTATACATGAAACGTAATAATTACTACGAAAGTTATAATAATAAATATGCCTATATAGGCCTATGTCATATCAATTTAGGCATGGGTCAAAGATTACTGTACTAATACTATAGTAATACAGTGTGAACTTCATTACAGTATACAGACCCTTTCACAAGACAGACATGCACACAAGGTGCTCGCTATGAGGTTTGGAGAGTACGTTGTTTTTAGGTCGTGAGAGAAAAAATCCTGACACTGACAGGAATTATATTGTATACAACAACTTAATTTGAATATATATATATATATATATACATGCATATATAT